GTTTTCTGCGCAGTTTTAATCACACCTGCCACCACAGTGCCCCCGCATCTTGCGATAGTGCCAAAAAGATAACATAGGGCGGATAGGATTTTGGTGGGCTCACAGTGTGTGAAGAGCCATTTGGAAATTTGAAACGATCGTTCGGCTCGTTTCATCGCGGGGAAAAAACCGCGACAAGTGTTGTTCGTAGGCCAAGTCTCTCTCGTTCGATCCTCCCTCCAATTCCATTTCTTCTATCGTTTCGTAGAGGTGCATCCGACCTCAGTGCCAGCCAGCCAACCACCTCCCCCTCGAAAAAATTACTCAGCACGTGATACGGGGGCTCGTTGGCTGACAGAGGGGTTTATCAAGTTCCGTCATCTGTTTGCACTTCTGTTTCCGCCGCCGCATGACAAGCTCCAGCTCACACATTCTTAGTCAAGCTGTTAACTGTTGAAAATTCTTCACGCTATTCAGATTCTTCTACCGTAATCCCTAGCGATTTTCAGTGCAATGGCGATATTCCACATCCTCCTACTGTCCATTACTAGTTATGTGTATGCCAGTATTGACGCACCAAAGTAAGTTCCGCGTTCGTGATAATATTTTCCTTCGAGCAGCTGTCAGTGTTTCCGCCGTTCAGTTGAGCTGGACCACGTGAACGCTGAGGAATTCAAAATAATGATCTCTGATTTCAGTTATAATGTTCTACGACTCGTCATAGCCAACGAATCCCAAAAAGACGATCTTCGGAAGTTAGATGATCTTCTAGGATACCGGGTTGGTTTCAGTCAACTCATATCTCTTCTATTCTGTGAATAATTTGATATTTCTTCATATAGATCTATGTACTTCAATATGATAAGAAGGGCAAATATAATATTTGGATCCAATCCTGCATATTGGGCTGCGCCACACATTGGACTTAAAGGCACGGGTGCCTCTGAATTAATGTGATATTTTGTTTGAAAATCAGATAAGAAGAGTTACTATTCCCCTTGTAGGTCGACCACGGTAAATGAAGAGACATACGATGCGAAAAGAGAGAAACGACGAAAAAACAAGTGAGGAGCATAAACAAAGAGCACATCGTACGAGACAGGGCGCAGACACCACGTATCTTGTGCTGGTGAGGACGGCAGCATTCGCAGAAGTCAAGCGAAGGCATGGCTCCCTTACTGCGCATTCTTATGTCACCCCTGTGACTAGTGGTCCTGTACCTCGCTCAAAAAGAAAATTTTTGATGATCTGTGCCTTTAAGTCCGTAAACGTGGGGGCGTTTCTACGGTTTGGGTGTAGGGAAGGGGAAGATGAGGGCGCATCAGCTCAAATCCTTCGACTGAGAGAGATCCAACAGGGAATCGATTCCACATCTTGCCTAACGACATATCTACATATCGACTTATCGACCTCTAAATATTACCCACCTGTCCGTCTGGCCGAATCAGATGAATAGATCGCATTTCGTTGGAGGGTCGTATTTCTGAAGGATATGGGGAGAATTTTCCATGCATTTTTACCGCTCCAGCAGTCATATATAACCCTTTCTTGGGGCACTCGGAAATCTGGGCGGGGTTGGAGATGTGTCAGGTTGACTCAGATGATACGTAACGAACGATGGGCATCAGTAGCTATTGGAAGTCGAGGGTCATATATCTGAAATTGACCACTCGGGACGGCTTGACCTTGTTCAGAAGCCTGCGACGCGGTTTTCATTATGACTATATTCTTCATAACCCGGGGCTGAACCCTGGCAGTTAAAAGGTGCGATTTGTAGTCGCATGGGGAGCCCTTCTATTACAATTAATGACACAAAATATAAAAATGTGGAGCGGACTCGGAAATGTTACACTGTGAAGGACTCTCAGCTGATCTCTCGATGCTAGCTAGCACGAATGACCGCTTTTTGAGGAATTCCTCACATGTTGAGTTGAGTGCTGGGAAAAAGCTGTGCTAAGAGATCTCGCTCTGAAATCCCGTGTAAAATCTCGTGCCATCACAAATCGATTAAAATAGTTTTTTTTCTTTTTGGTATTGATCTAATTTGGGCAAAATTGCGGGCAATTTCGGGCAATTTTCCCAACAATTGCGGCATTTTCGAGCAAAATTCTCGAAAATCTTGCTACCTACTCAATGGCCTTTCAGGTTCCTGAAAGAAACTCAGTTGAAAGCTTGGCGTGATAAACGCTTGTCCCAATATTGGCTAAGCGCTGCCAATTTCAGCTTGACACTCCAAATAGTCTTTGCTCTAACCAAAGTTACTTCTACAACTACCGGAATGCTCTCCTCAGATTCCTCCGGCCAGAATCGAGAAATGGCACTGACGAATACGCCATGCGACTGATTCTTAGTCCATAACGTAACGGCGTTTGAATGCTTATTCAAGCTAACGAGCAACTCGGTTGCTTCAAAACAAAATATTTCACTGGCTAGCCTACCACGATAAACCAACCTGTGTGAAGAGAACCTTTGCCAGATCGGCCCTGTACATGTAAAATCTGTATCCGTTGATTCCATCCGCGAACCACCGGATGCAGGCATTGATTGTCACCACGACTTCCGGCCTCCCAGTCCCTCCTTCCCAAACTCCCTGACGCCGAGGACTTGAGAAATAGAGAAAGACCAATTTCGATAACCATCAATGACGGTACAGGATGAGGAAATTTTCCCCAATTATTCGAATAATATGCTACGAAAAATTAAGCCTAATCGTAAGGGTGTGAAGACCTTCAAAATTTTGTTTCAAAAATGTATTCTCGAAAATCAAACAATTCACCCGAATTGGGACCATCACGCATCTGGGAGGATAAAAACGGTTGATTCTCGACCATTTATTCGAACCATTCAGCGCTTTCCCAAATGACTCATCGATTCCTGGAGATCGAATACGTGGCGCCTCCGTTAATCGGCAGGTCGTCAGCTATGTTACTTTTTTATTTGTCGCTTTATTGACAACAAAGCTGGGGCAGCGAAGGCACATGGATTTGAACAACAAACATGAGCTGGGATTAAGTGCATTGGCTACACGACGATCAATCATTATCAATAGGGCGGGTCTCTGAAGGAAGTGAAACAGGACGCATTCTGCCGCGTAGGGTGCGCCCGTAGCAGCTTAAAATGGTCTTACCCGCGCAGCTTCATTCCCCGTCGCTCGCAGACTTCTACGCCCATCGATTAGCTACCAACTAGTTGCTGGTCCCTCGCCGTCGGACTCTGAACCTTTTAGCAGGGACGCAGAGCAGAGCGTTCACACTGATGACCTCTGCACCGCAGAGGCTCGTCCAACGGGTAAATCAACGGGAAGGAGAAGGATCACGTTTTTCGAGTTTCAGACCGTTTCCCTTGGTTTTTTCTTCACTGCTGCAGCTTTTAGCAGCGCGATTTTCACTCCCGGCGGCTGTTTAATTTATGGTGTCATGTGCCTTTAAGGCCGGGAAGATCGAATGCAAGCGACGATGATGATGATGCAAGCGTGCCGCTCAGACCTTTGAATTTCACGAGACACCCTTTCCCTGAGCGGGCATGTCCATTTGAACGGTATGCGATTTCAGATAGACTACCTCCGCGCTGTTCGATCTCCAAAACAACCAGCCGATATGCTTCTCGAAGATGAAGATCTCGCCTATGTTCAACGATTTCTTACCCAAAAAGGCATTCAAAATGAAGTCGTTCGTGAGTTTCTGCATTCTTTAATGTATTGGGTACTGTAACTTGTCAGGCGGTTTCATTGCTCAATTATGCTTGTACTTAACTTCCAGATAATTTTTAAAGGCACGGGTCGCAATCAGATCATCATTACATTCTCTCCTCGGGTGAGGTAGCAGGATCCCAAAACACAGAAGTTGGTTGCTGTCGCGACTGAAATTGCGCGACAAGGGACGTAATGCCTTCGCTTGAGCGCTGCAACCGCTGCCATTCTTATCAGTCGCAACACACGTGGCGTCTGCGCCCTCTCGCGTACGACGTGCTCTCTCGCGTTTTCCCTCTCCTCGCAGCTGTGTCTCTCCGTTATACCACGGCCGACTTCGCGAAGGAAATTTCAGTGTTTCTATGGTGTTTGGTGCTTTGCTCCCACGTTCAACGTACACTTCTTGTCTAAGTACCAAGCAAGACAACACTCCAATTCGATCGCGACCCGTGCCTTTAAGTTCTTTCATGTGGCTCCATTCGCTTAGCGCCGTTGTTCGTTGAAAAGTTGAAGACTCAGAATCAAGTCTGGTTTCAGTGCGCAATGTCGAGCGAGAGGTTCGACGAGAAAGGCGAGCACTGGTCGAATCAATCGGCGAAGAAATCACCTTGGATACGATCCAGAAGAAATATCTCTCGTTCGATGATGTCAG